TTGTATGCAGGCGCCGGGAAAAACCTCCGCGACGGACGACGCACTTTGAGTATCCTGAAAGCAATCATCAATAGCGCAAGGTAAACGCGCAAAGCACATGCAACAACAAGCTAGTATCCGGGGCGACGACAACGAAGACAGTGGTACTTCGCCAAAACGAATAGAAAACTCTCGACTCTGAATCAGTCGTGGTGACGGAAACGACGAGCCCGCCCACTTCCCTTGAACCCCGAGACCGACGACGATAGGTTACCCATGCATCAAGCCGCCTACATCCAGGCAACATCAAAAGAGAAGACACGTAAGAAAAAAAAACGACGGAGTAAAAAGGACCGGCACCTATTGTATGCAGACGCCGGGAAAAACCTCCGCGACGGACGACGCACTTTCGATATCGTTCCTGCCCGCACCCCAAACGCCCGATCACAGGAAAACCGCCTGTTCGTTTTCAGCGGTGAAGTTCCACCCAAAAGATGATACCTTTTTTATAGAAGTAAACATAACCTCACAGAAGGACTACCCGTTCGAGATATAACCTCAGTCGAAAGGGATGTGGTGGAAGTCTTTTCAGCAAGTGGATTGAAACCAACTCTGGAGACGTGGCTTACTTTGAGTTTGTGTAAGCCGAACACTGGGTTATTAGTAATGCCAATGGGAGCCAATACCATTTTGTTGTACTTTGGCCCAAGACCTCGACCTTTTTTGTCACAATCGTCACCTTCGTGAGGGTGTCGACGTACCCTTTTTTTGATGCTGCACTTGGGTGCAGATCGATGCGCAGGTGCCTCGCCGTGAGCGCCACACGAAAAATCTGTTTCCACGGGATGGTGCCCGACATTATTGTGCAAGGGCAGCCGTGTGTCGGTGTTCGTGTGGTGTGGTGTATTCCGTATGTGTGTGCTTCGTAAGCCTTGTGTTGGATTGCTCCTGACCTCGACGTGAAGGCTCGCGTCGCTGGGGTGATTGGTACGCCGCTGCGGGCGAGCTTGCACCCATTCGTTTTGATCGAGGTTGCCAGCCTGACAAGGCAAGGTTATAACTGATTTCCCAATCCGATAGAAAACCGGCGGTTGGTAGCCCAGCATGAACAGGTTATACAGCGTATACCCAACCTGCGCAGGTTATGCGCGGGCACAACCTCCCGTAACGTGCCCCACCGGCCACCTGTGTATGTCTTATGGAGGGACCTTAGACTGCTGTATGTCCAAACCTTAATTTGTTCCTGCCAACACCCTACTGCAGAATCCTTCTCGTTCACACACTCCAAGGATTGTACCGTGCCGTCGCGCCGCCACAAGCAATGTCTCGGGCTGCATCAATTCAACTCTTGTTTGCGACCATGTAATAGGTGGTCCAACTGGTATTGCGACCACCATTTGTACACGAGGACCACGGATTCTGTTTGCACAACATTGCGGAGGATTTTTCCTTCAACATCAACCAAGGTACTCTCTCTGTAAGCGAGCAGCAATCACTGCTGTATTTAGCAGGCTGCATGTTGAACGCTGCGGGGAAGGCAGCGGCATGCGGGTTTGAGGGTACGGCGGGTAGGACAGCTCACCAGATGGCAGTTCTTGCAGTGCTGCGAGCGGTGCTTTTAGACCACTTGATCTCCAGCAGTGCTCAGCAGGCAACCTACAGCAGCAGACAACTTGGCAGCAGCAGTAGCACCTGTCCGTACAACCGGGTGGTGATTTGCTTCCGGCTAGCATCACTGCGGTGTCCATACGTATCGTATGGCTGTACACGTCACGTAAACAGACACCAGTACAGCAGTAGAGGGCCCTCAGTAGCGCCAGTGTGTAGGATCAGGCCAGTTCACCGGCACTATTCAGAGGGATAATATGGCTTTTACGACAGGAACATTCACACTCGTGCCCAGAGGTTCGACAGGCACTATTCGAGGTATGGCACTACATATTCAACCAGTGCTACTGAGGGCCCTCTGTACTGCTGCCGTAGTAGGTCAGCATCCAGCAGGTGTCCCTCAACTCTCCCTGCTGTGAAAACTACCTGTAAGAAGTCATCCGAACACACCCGTACACATGCTAATGCTGTCTTCAAATCTCGAACGAGTTCAGCAGTCTTATCTTTGATTTCGCACTGACCCGAGGAGCAGGAAACGTGCGCTATACTATGTGAAGAAAACTCCAACCCACGTGGAGGAGACCTTCCAAAACGGGGGGGGGGGGGGACAAGATTACGACAT